TGGTTAATTTTCTTTGAGGTGAGCATATAATAACCATGAAATAAAGTTGCGATGATAGCAAAAGCTGCATTTTGCTGCAGACTCGTACCTGCTGTTTAAAGGAAAATACTAATATTTATTAGAGGAGTATAATTTAATGATTATCATCTAAGTTTAGTCATTAAATCGCTCTACTACAGCATTAACTTAAAGTCTGCAACAAATTTATCATATAGAGCTATAACAGTTCAATCAAGTTTAAATAAATGGAATTTGATTTTGGTGGAAGTGCTTCATTCATTTTGGGTATTAAAATCTGAATTGTATATTTCACAATTTGATGGCGGTTTGCTCTAGATATTTTGAGTTAGAAATAAAAAAAAAACAGAAGAAGCTTTTCATATGAAAGGATAATTATGCAAAAACTGAGCATTTATTCTGATTTGCTAATGGTTTCTCGTAATAATGCTAATAAGTTAGTATTTTATCATCTCTTAAGCAGGATGCAGACGAGGAGTCTTTGTTTTGTCTGACAGAAACAAAATTTAAAAAAAAAATCTTTCTGCACAGAAACGCAGAAATGCGATATTTCCATGATGTATCCTAAAAAAACGCTACACGATAATTGGTTCATTCCAGATCAGTTATCAATCTTATATATAATCGAAATGTTATATATTGGAAATAAAATAATTATTTTACTGAACCTTTCCTAGAAAAAAAAAATGTGACATTGCCAGTAGCAGTAAACTGTATAAAAATGCCCCGAATCACCTTATAAATAATGCCGAGTTAAACTGGTAGGTATATCCCCTAAGGTAATATTATGTTAGACGTTCGAAAGGAAAAGCGCGAAGATCGTTTATCGTAGTCATTGATATCCCATCTGATCCTTTCATATTACCTGAGCTTGGAGCCTATTTAACGAGAGGAATTTTCAGTCTCCGCAAAACTTTTTAAATCAATTTTTACTTTTAGACTGAGACCTATAAGCGGTTTTTAGAAGGGATCTTTCGAGAGTAAGTAATAAAAATCAAACAGACCGGACATAGAAGATTTTATTTCGAGCCCCTTGTGCTCTATACGGGTGACTGGTAAGTGGACGTATTCCTTTGAGGAGATGACATTAGAGCCTATTTGCTACCGATTAAACACTATTTACCTCTATACCATTCTTAACGGTTTTCGCGATATTTTCATTTTTCTAATTTTTATAAAATTCACTACCTTATGAGGCAAATATTTAAAATTAACGAAAATAACAAGGACCTTTCTGAAAGTCGTGTTTTAAATTTTAAGCTGACACACTGACAAAAATATCAGCATTGAAAATTATCGAAACACTAATGTTAACTATTGAGTTATTGCGGTTTAAACTTAACTTTTCTTGTTAAGTTTCTAACTAATGACTTATTTAACCCTAAAAATATCGAAAATTTCATAGTACTTCAAACGTACAAATAATTGGCAAAAGTACTCCATTTTATTGTCTCCAAGATAAGGTACATTATTTCAGAATTAGCTTTTTGCTTTATTGTTAAATAAATTATTTTTATTTTAAGGAGAGACGATATAATTTTCAACAGAATTCTAATTTATACCTGTTTTGGATATCAAGTGTTGCAATAAAAATTTTATCAATTTTTTTACTAGCTAATAGTAATAGTTATTAGTAAAGAAGAAGTAATTACTATTTTCTGCTTGAAAATTTTGAAATTTGCATAATAAATTACTGGCACTTTATTGCCAAGCATTCTTGAATGCACTCTCTTCCAAATAAAGTCTGTTTCTTTTTTGAAGATAATTCCCAAGTCAAAAATTCACTACCAATGTTGGCAACACAAGCTCTTTCTAGATAAAAAATTTGAAAGCATTGACAATTTTACATTGTATCGCCAAAATAATGTAAGTGTGACTTTTATCTTTGAAAAAAAAACAATATTTACCATTTGAAAAAATGTATTTCCTACCTTATAATAAAAAAAAAACAACATTCTCCTAATAAAAAAAAAAACAACATTCTCAAAATTAAATGAAAAAACTTTTCCAACAAGTGATGTAATTAATTTTCAAAATGACTACCCCCATTCCTTATGCAATCACGAGCCCGTCTTCTTACTTCTGTCCTGGTTACTCGATTTGAAAAGTTCTGTCGCAATATCGCAACCCCATTCTGTATCCTTTCAATCAGTTCTTCGCGCGTATTTACCTCCGTGGCATATACGATTTCTTTCAGGTGCCCCCATACATAAAAATCTAATGGAGTTAAATCAGGGCTCCTAGCAGGCCATGGAATGGGTCCACCCCTTCCAATCCATCTATTCGGAAACCTTTGCTCTAAGAGTTCCCGTATTGTAAGACGATAATGTGCAGGACATCCGTCATGCTGGAAGATCATCTCTTGCCTGTTCGCTAGAGGGACATTTTCTAGTAGCTCATACAAGTTGTTACGTAAAAATTCTTCATAATTTTCACCGTTAAGGTTATCCGGTAAAAAATGAGGTCCAATTAAATTATTGGCGATAACTCCCATCCATACATTGACACTAAATTTTCTTTGGAAACTAACTTGCTTCTTCTGATGCGGATTATCTTCGGCCCAGTAGTGCAAATTATGAAAATTTGTTATTCCTTCTCTGCTAAATTTTGATTCATCGGTCCATAAAATTCTTGTTAAAAATGAAGCATCCTCAATATCCGCATGGAGAATAAATCTGCAGAATTGAACTCTGCGCGCCAGATCACCCTCGTCTAGTCCTTGCACAGGAGTGTGATGAAATGGGTGAAGACCATTTTGATGAATCACTGACCAGACCTTCCATTGTGAAACACCCAGCTGTCGGGAAATTTTTCTGGTGCTTGTTGTTGGACCTTCTTCAAGTAGTCTCAAAATTTCACCATCAATGTTAACGTCTGCAGGAGGAGCTCCTACGCGTTCTACTCGTTGAAGGCTGCCAGATTCTGAAATGCGACGGTAAGTTGCACCAAACACACTAACATGTGGAATGCGCCTATTTGGGAAGCGACGTACATATTCTCTTTGAGCTTCAGCTGCATTTCCATTGGAAAAACCATAAATAAATAAAATGTCCGCATATTCAGCATAGCTAAACGTTGCCATTTTAGATAGAAGTTAACAGCGAAAGACTATCATCAGAACTATTTAAATCAAAACTTTGGACGAAAAACTGAAACTAAATTTTGTTATTGTTTATTATTATTAATTCAAAAAATGGAAAAATGCGTATGGTATACCTGTTGATAAATATCAACATGATTGGCGAGTATCACACCAAATTGCAATAAGAAAAGACTGGAAAATAATGTTGCTTACTTAGTCTGAACTTACAATTCTTCTAAATGCGAGAATAAAACCGTTACTCCTACAAATGAAAATTATGAAATCAACAATAAAACAACCTTATTTTAAAGACAATAAAATAGAGAATTTTTAACAATCATTTGTACGTTTGGTGGACTAAAGTGCGTTTTTTTTTTTTAAAGATAAAAGTCAAACTGACATTATGTTGGCAATACAATGTAAAATTGTCAATGCTTTCAAATTTTTCATGTAGAAAAGGCTTGTGTTGCCAACATAGTTACTAAATTTTTGACTTGGGGAATTATCTTTTAAAAAAAAACACACTTTATGAAGTTTTCGAAATTTTTCAGCATAAAGAAACCATTAATTCGCAGAATTCAGTTCTGCAGATTTATTCTGAATTCGGATGTTGAGGATGCTACAATATTAGAGAAGGAATAACAAATTTTGATTTTTTACCTGATAACCTTAACGGTGAAAATTATGAAGAATTTTCACGTAACAACTTGTATGAGCTACTACAAGATGTCCCTTTAGCGAACAGGCAAACAGATGATCTTCCAGCTTGACGGATGTCCTGCACACTATCGTCTAACAATAAGGGCACTCTTAGACCAAAGGATTCCGAATAGATGGATTGGAAGAGGTGGACCCATACCATGGCCTGTTAGGAGCCCTGATTTAACTCCTGTTGCGATATTGCGACAGAACTTTTCAAATCGAGTAACCAGGACAGAAATACGAAGACGGGCTCGTAATTGCATAAGGAATGGGGTTATTCATTTTGAAAATTAATGAGTTATTGATTAAATTGTATCAAAAAGTTTTTCCATTTCATTTTGAGAATGTTGTTTTTTTTATTATGATAGGAAATACATTTTTTCAAATGGTAATTATTGTTTTATTATGGAACGAAAAAATTAGGTGCCAATTGTGAACTATTTGAAAGAGAATGCATTCAACAATGCTTGGCCATAGAGTGCCAGTAATTTATTATGAAAATTTCAAAATTTTCAAGCAGAAAATAATAATTACTTCTTTACTAAAAACTATTACTATTAGCTACTAAAAAATTTGATAAAATTTTTATTGCAACACTTGATATCCAAAACAGGTATAAATTAGAATTCTGTTGAAAATTATATCGTCTCTCCTTAAAATAAAAATAATTTATTTAACAAGAAAGCAAAAAGCTAATTCTGAAATAATGTACCTTATCTTGGAGACAATAAAATGGAGTACTTTTGCCAATTATTTGTACGTTTGAAGTACTATGAAATTTTCGATATTTTTAGGGTTAAATAAGTCATTAGTTAGAAACTTAACAAGAAAAGTTAAGTTTAAACCGCAATAACTCAATAGTTAACATTAGTGTTTCGATAATTTTCAATGCTGATATTTTTGTCAGTGTGTCAGCTTAAAATTTAAAACACGACTTTCAGAAAGGTCCTTATTATTTTCGTTAATTTTAAATATTTGCCTCATAAGGTAGTGAATTTTATAAAAATTAGAAAAATGAAAATATCGCGAAAACCGTTAAGAATGGTATAGAGGTAAATAGTGTTTAATCGGTAGCAAATAGGCTCTAATGTCATCTCCTCAAAGGAATACGTCCACTTACCAGTCACCCTGTATAAGGACACGTCACACGTCTACAGTTTAGTGGTTTCTAGGGGAATCGATGAAACGCTTTACTTACCAAATTTAGCCAGGCGTTTGTAGTGAGGATTTGATTTTTTTCATCCTGAAAGTGAAATAGAGTTTTAATAAACAAATAAACAAATTAAATGGATAAGATATTAAAATTGAACAGTTAGAGAACATAACGGAAAAAACGAATAGCTAGAATACCTATCAGGTATTGCTATAATGTAGTGTGAGTCGACACAAAATCAGGTCCAGCGCAAGCAAATTTGACGCTCTGGGCTCATTTGTTCCTAACATTTTTTTATAAATGAAGTTTATTATATGTTAATTAAAAAAAAATTGAAAACCTAAAACCCCTTTTGTTAACAAATTAACAAGAGGCCCATAATATGCTTAGTTTGCTCAGCGAATAATTATTAGGGGTGGGTCAATAGTTTAATAAGTACAGAATGGCGAGGGCGCCACTGAATAAAAAAACAAATACATAAAATATTGAAGTGTGAAAATTCAGAAACACACCTAAAAAAAATAATTAGCAAACGGTAATTGATAATTTTGAGAAGGAAATAAATAAGGGATATAACTCAACCCAATCTTGACATAGGTAAAACCAATAAAACAATTGAGTAAGTTTCAAATTAAATTAGTATATATTTTCACAGTGAGGTCAAAAATCAAGTATTGAATAATTTCGAAGTATAAAATCAATTGCTGGTAAAACACTTTAAATAAAATCAATAAATAGAGGTTAACTCTCAATCAGTTTCATCAAATTAAAAAAAAAAATAGAAATAATATTACAGTCGCTGGACATATCATTATCATGAAATAAAAATATAAAGATTTAAGTTTCTACTAACTAATTAAAAAAAAATAAATGGTCAGCTTCTGCTTAAAGAATAAATTCAATAAAGTCAACTTGCACCTGTATGAAATCGCAAGTTGGGTTAAATGGTCAGGAGATATAATAGAAATCCTCAAATATATAAGTAATAGGACCTAGGGTTAAAAATTGATCAATCTTCGACGATATAGGTACTTACTCAATAATTTTAAATTTAGAGCATGTTGTCCAGCCTTGACTTCTGTTCAGATTACTGATTGATTATCATTGATAAAATATAAGTACAGTCATTAAATATGGCGGTACAAAAAGTTATGTAGAGATAAAATCTATAGTAAATACGGTAAAGCAAAAATCGGAAATAATTTTTTAAAGGTCATTTAGGTTTCAAGGATACGAAATTGAAATTTCAAATATTTAAATGTCATATCAGGGGAAAAAAATCAATTAATTTTGTTAATTGATCATAAAGTACATTTCATTATAAAAAATTATAAAAGTTATAAATGAAATTCTATACAAGCCTCCATTGCAACAAAAAGGTAGAGCACGTTGTCGTTAGCCATCCATTCTCGGTTACTTGAAGTATTTTACCTGCCGCAACTATTTTTGCAGATTTCTATGTTGAAGAATCTCGCAAGAAAAAAAATCGCGAAGACGATTTTAGGCAACAGTCAAATCAAATTGACACCATAGTTGTTACCAATGATAATTCTAATAAAGAAGGACTTACGCATTGTTAACATATTGAAACACCTCCGACTTCAAGGATTAATTGATATCAGACGACAGCGTGTACATTCACGATCAATATAACAAACAATAAGTAGATTTGTTCTGTGTTTGCTCTTATAATAAAATATGTTAAGTTATAATATCTTCATTTTTCACATTTATCAATTTTTACGGATGGCGATAAAGTTTTGTATGCACCACGCCAGTAAAGTGTCTTTATCGAGCTCGCCATTTCACTCGACTCGCTCGCTTTGCTCGCTTTGCTCGCTCGACTCATAACCTCAGACTCGTCCGATAAAGTACCACTTTACTGCCTTGGTACATAAATTACTATTGCAATGTTAGTCAAGACATACTTTTTTGTGACAATTACCATCTATACCTAGGCGATCTGACCATAACAATCATTGAACACCCATAAGCTTTACTATGCTGATAATAACAATATCAATTGTTCCGTTTCGAACAAAGAAAAAATCTTCAATTCACCCACAAAAGACAAAATTGATTACTTTCACCAAAGATAAAAAGGTAAAAATGCAAGAGCTCGTGGAAATCAGAGGAAAGAAAATCCTCAACTCAACCGAGTAAAATACCTAGACGTTATATTTAAGCCATGTATAACGTGGAGCGCTCAAAAAGCCGGTGATTGATCCTGAAAATGAGAATAATCAGGCCCAGAAAATACCACTAGAGAAGAGCCTACGAACAGAGAACAGGGCCCGTATTCTCGTAACCGGGGAACAGCGTTCTCTCAAGAGAACGAATGCTCTGTCTTTGTCAGTATTATGGAAATAACAATATGGGTGACTAAGACAGAGCAATCGTTCTCTTGAGATAACGCTTTTCCTCAGTGACGAGAATACGGGCCCAGGACTCTAGCTACGCACATCACAGATACTCAAATCCCAATGTCCATAGGAGGCTTTGCCTCAGTGCTTGAAGCGCAAATAACAATATTCCTACACAATGCAACAGAAATGGAAAGTAGAGGGACAGGAAACAAATTCATAGATACATACTCAGATAGTGATGCAGCCATCGAAGCAATGGGAGCCCGTGTTAAGACAGGCTGGTATGGGATTGTACCTAGTAACGAAACAGATGGGTGGCGAATGAAGCTGACGCTGGCCTAGGTGCTAGGTCATAAAGGTCACCCAAGAAAGGAGAAGGCTGACAATATAGCCGGCCAATGAGCGGACCGGAACCACTCTACGGATGGCTATTCGAATTACCAAGACAATCACCAGGCAGTGGGTAGAACAAAAGCTTCAACAATGGTTGCGGAACCTACTGTGACTAAGACACGCAAAACTCCTTGAAAAAAAAAAGCGATAGATTTGCCAATTTTCCACAGAACACCCACGAGTCTTTTCGGACTGACAGCAGCAACCCTCTGTAGGTTCTGCCAAAAAGAAGGAGAGGCAGCAAAATATATGCTACGCGATTGTAACCCAATCGCAAGGCAGCGAAGTTACACAGGATAAAACCAATTAGAAGAAAATCGTGTTGTGTCTTTATCAGAACTTATTTATTTTTGGACTTTTCCGTCTTCACTGTAGATTTTTCTCAACATTGATGCAATATCCGCGAACTCCGTAATCAACTTGATTGATATCTTGATAAATCGAGGTTTTCTGACTGAATCTACTAATCTGCACTGCGTTTTTCTGTTTGCTGTCCCTATATATTCTTCTATCTTTTTTGAACCAGGTCACTCCTGACCCGATATCCTCATCGGGTGAAGCAAAAAACTTGTTGGGTTACTATAAACTTTTTTATCCCGTTTCTGCACTCCGCTGCGGTTTCTTTTCCAATAAACCTTTTTCATAAATATTGGAGTGATAAAATTGATGCTGCTAACTATACATTGACTATTTTGGTCTTTACCTCACAATGTTTCAATAAATTTCATACAGTAAATAAATGGTAGGTATTTTATCGCTCTAAAATGAATACTGGGCCAAAGTTTCGAGGATAAAAATAATAATCCTTTCTTTAAATGATTGCCGACGTTTCGTCCTTTATAAGGACTTTTTCGAAGCTTTCCTCAAAAAAGCCACGAGAATGTCTTTATAAAACAGTTTTTTAAATAAAGGGCTTTTATTTTTGCTACGCCGAATATTTATTCCTAGAAATGTTAAAGTTCAGAACATTGCACGCATGAATGTTGATCAATTGGAGTTTGTTTTATTTATAACAACTAAAATCAGAAAACAATTGTTGAAACTGGAAACATTTTGAATATGAAATTAAATGCTTTTGATTTGATTAAAATTGTCAACGAACAACCACACAGGTATGTACAATTGGCCGTGAGCCAAAATTGTAATCCACAACTCAACATAGGCCCGATACAAAATTAACATTCCAACTCCCAACAAATATTTCGTCAGCTAGAGCAACAGTTTTCCATTATTGAATTGGGTGATTGAGAATTGAAAGATATAGGTACGTAATTATGGTTATATGCTCAATAATCTCATACCTACTATTTTCGTTATGTAAGTTCATTAAACAATTTTATGATCTATAAATAAGTAAAAATATATGATGATTTACGTTCAAATGAAATTTGAAAGTCTCGAGTCGAAAGGCCCTTTGGGACTATTTTTGATTGCAAGGAAAACTATGAGATTTCTCTTACCATTATAGAAATAAACCATTACTGTCAGGTGTTCCAGCTCTTATTTAACAAACTTCCTTTGAAACTTTTTATACCATCAAAACACTTCCCACACACAAAATTAACCATCCAACAATGCAACTTCAATCACTAACAGCTATTTGCACCGGTGTTCCTTAAAAACAAACTAAGTTAGGTAGAGGCTAAGCTTAAGGTGAACCTTTAGGTTGAGTTGCTTTGCACCGACCAAATCTTAAATCTTAGCTAAGAATTGAAAGCTATTGGCAACAGCGCAAAAATGCGTATTTCAAGGCAGAAATGAAAGAGGAGGTACCTATTTCAAGCAAGGAATTTATCCGTTAACCTATCTTTGCGATTAAAATATAAATATTTTCGTTAATTTCGTCTTTTCTTTTATAAGTTATATCACGTGGATATTATTTTGAATATATTTTTGGCATTCTTGTGCAAAATTCTGTAGAAATTACCCAACTCAAAAATATTTTTTAAAAAGAATTTATATCGAGAGTATAGTTTTTTTATAACAAATTCAATTTTCTTCCAAAAAGTGGTCCAAGTTGCCAAGTTTGCTGTAAAAGTAATAAGCCATAAACGCAAAAAAATAAAAGCATTAACAAATAACTAAATAACAGCAACAATCATAAAAAAAAAACTTCGGAAAACTGGTAAGGGAAAGGAGCAAGGAGCTCCTTGTGTTCAATTTGGCAGTCGGAAAATTAAAATACCCTACATTGTTTTTGCTATGAAAATAAACATATATATATATTTTTTTTGCTTTAAACCAAAACATGCAGTCTTCGGAGAAAAGGCTCTTGGAACCTTGGATATGCAAATACAAAATCATCGATAGACGATAATCAAAGTCAACCAG